CCCTCCTCCTCCTTCTCCTTTCCCACTGCCTTCTAGCACTGATGATGTTACCTAGTTGGGTAATGAAACATCTGCAAGAAAACAGTCAGGCTCAGAGACCCCCAAGTACCCAACAATCCTCTTTCTCCTTTTCCTCCTCCTCTTCCTTCTCCTCTTCCTTCTCCTCCTCTTCCTTCTCCTCCTCTCCACAAACCCCACTCCCTCGTAGCACCGATGATGTTACCTAATTTGGGTAACGACAGGTCTGCAAGAAAGCAACCAACATCACCACAGCACCAAGGAGCCCACAGTTCATCCCCCCGAGCTCTTCTTTTCCAATCGGTAGAAGCCAAATGTTCGACTAAAAGGAAGCCTTCCCATCCCCAAGACCTCAAGTTGTGTACCCGAGTTTTGTTTGTATTTGTTCTGACCAAAACCTTGTTCCAAGTAAACAAACACCAAATAGAGATAAAAGCGAAACCTTTAATGTTTCTCTGCAAATTGCGTTCCTTCTTGGTTAAAAAGGCTGTTTCAAACTAATTGTCTGATAAGAACGAGCCTTGCCAAGGTGGTGCAAGGCTGCCAAGAATACTAGATAAAGTTACCAAGAAAGATTTCAAAGACAAAAGAGTCTCCAAACACCAAGCAAGGTATTCCGAATGTCCACAAGACTTGAGTGCAAAAACGTCTTTGCTTCCTGCAAAGAATCCCACCTCTGAGGGCTGGCTTTTATCCCTTAAGGGAGGGGCCCTTGCCTTGCAGCCTTACTCCCGAGTCGCCCTTCCTGCTGCAGCTGCTCTTTCCTTCGAGCAGCCCTGCGTGCGTGCACACTGGGCACAGGCTCCTCGGGGGCCTCTTCCTCACTGCTGCCAGCCTCCACCATCTCCGAAGGCAGCACTCCACTCCCTGATGGTCCTGGCCCCATCCCTGCATCCCACGCAGGCCCCTCATCCGAGTCCTCGCTCTCCGAGACCTCAGCCCTCCTCACCTGCCAGCGAACCACAACAGTATTCCTCTCCATGGTTGCAGGAGCGACAAAGCCACCACGAAAAGCTTGCTGAACGACAAGCGCCTGGTGCAGGAGCAGAGGGAACGCTACAACCAATACTCCGTCATTGTTGAGGAGGTGCCCGTGGTGAGCGGGGATCGCCTCTTCTCCCAGGAAGACTACGAGGACGAATACGACGACACCTATGACGGCAACCAGGTGGGAGCAAACGATGCTGACTCAGACGACGAGCTGATCAGCAGAAGGTAAGCCAGTGTCCATGTGCGCCAGTGCTTAATTCCAGGTAGGCTTCAAAAATTTTAGCAAGGGGTTCTCTGCCCGGTGGCTGGGGGCAGGGATGGGATTCTACCGGTTCGCCCCTATTCGCTAGAACCGGTTGTTAACATTATAAGCAGTTCGGAGAACCGGTTGTTAGAAGAAATTACTGGGCTAATCCTGTAAGGAAGGCAGGAAGGAAACATTCTGGTGTTGCTTACAGAAACTGCCTCTCCGTTAACCCTTATTACATTCTTGGCAGGACTAGACTTCCTGTCTCTGGAACTTCTCTTTTTCCCTCCTTTGCTGGTACTTTGCTTGTGTGGAGTGACCATTCAAAGTTACAATGGCACTGAAAAAAGTGACTTATGGCCATTTTTCACACTTACGACTGTTGCAGCATCCCCACAGTCATGAGAGGCCAGGCGAGGAGATGCATGCCTCGATGTGAGTGATGTTGAGTTGGCTACATCCAGCCAGTCACATGACCACCAAGCCATGCCCACCAACTAAGCCACACCCACAGAACCGGTTGTTAAAAAATTTGAATCCCACCCCTGGCTGGAGGGCGTAGCCTAGTCAGCCTCCTGCACCATGGCGGGGTGTGTGTGTGAGTTGCTTGTGGTGAATTGGCTGGGGCCAATTGGTTGTGGCGAGTTGTCTACTCTTGATGAGTCTCACCGTGTGGTGGTTCCATCTTCCTGAAGGCCGTTCACCATCCCTCAAGTCCTGAGGCCCAAAGAAGAGGAGGAGCAGGAGGAGGAGGAGGATGAAGAAGAGGCGATGGAGGATAGAGAGGCAACAAAGGTGAGCCATCTGGAATTCTGGAGGGAGGGAAGAGGTGGTGAAGCAATCCTGCGGTCCGAACAGGAGAAAGGAGAGGCAGCTCCTGAGAGAGCGGACGAGATCAGAAGTTGGCAGCTACTCCAAGTTATCTTGAGTGAGAACTTTGGCGACCTGAGGAAATGTGGCCCAGGTTCAGACAGTGAGGAGGTTGGGGAGGAACATGGGCCAGTCCTGGAGTCTGGGGAAGGCTCGGATGAGTGCTCTGCGTGTCAGAGGCAGAGATGTGGCCAGGGCTGCCTGACAGTTATCAGCTGCCTTCAGAGTCAGAGATCAGTGGGGAAGAAGAACAGCTGGAGCCTGTTTCCAATGTGCACATGCACAGAGCTGCCAGGAGAAGGGAACAGTTAAGGAACAAGGGTCAAAGGCTCAAGTAGACGGTGAATGGCTCCTCCCATAGGGAATAAAGAAGAGCAAAAGGGGAGTGGGGCTTTGCGGGAGACAATTAGTTCATTTAATGAGGGTGAAGATTTGTGCCCGACCCCTTGCCAAGTATTGTCTGCTGCAGCGTGGCGTTTGGAAGCTATCGGCCTGGCAACTCTCCAAGCCTGATAAGGTCTGTGGTTGTAAATCACTCTTGAAAGACTGTTTGCCCGGACTTTGCTGGATGCGAATGAGAAGAATTCACATTAGCCTAAATAAAAGGTTGTGGTTTTTTTGTCGGAATGAGGGGTCTGCTTCGCGATTTTGGGGAGCCTGGGTCAGAACAGGACAGGGACAAGGAATTTTTTGCCCTATCCTTCCCTCTTGTTAGGCAAGCACTGCCTCTTAAGTTAGCTCCAGCATGAGCTCCTCGCTGGATCCCGGTAAGGCAGATACCCTGGGACATGGCTGAAACTTTTCTGACCGTACAAGAAGGAGCGTTGGAAGACCAGGTTCACCGTGTCTGGTTGCCTGTCTCTGGTGGCCAGCATGACAAAGCAATTGTGAAAGGTGCAGAACACAATCCCTGCAGAACACAATCTCTGCTGCCAGCAGCCTGGGGAAAAGTTTGAATTTTCAGGACGCGAAGCAGCTGGTCCAGTGGGTGGCTGTACAGCTTTCTCCCTTGAGTCCCGGCGTCCGGCGCCCACATGCCATGAAGTTTGACAGTTCTGGTCCGTGGAGGGAGAATATTTAATGGTGGACGCTCAAAAGGCTGGCACTTAACATTTTATGAAGTCCCCGATTGCTCTGTCTCTAGAGGAACTGGTAGACACGAAAAAGAAACTTTGCGTTTTATATATATACAGGTAGTCCTCAACCATTGAGCCCAAGCTTTCTGTCGCTAAGTGAGACATTTGTTAAGTGAGCTTTGCCCCATTTCACCAACTTTCTTGCCCCCGTTAAAGTGAATCACTGCAATTGATAATAGCAATAGCACTTAAGACTTACATACCACTTCCCAGTGCTTTTCCAGCCCCTCTCTAAGCGGTTTACAGAGTCAGCCTCTTGCCTCCCCAACAATCTGGGTCTTCATTTTACCTACCTTGGAAGGATGGAAGGCTAGTCAACCTTGAGCCGGTGAGACTCGACTGTTGGCAGTGGGCAGAGTTAGCCTGCAATTCTTCATTCTAACCACTGCACCGCCACAACTCTTAATAGCCCTTAGCCCTTATATACTGCTTCACAGTGCTTTACAACCTTCTCTAAGCAGTTCACAGACTCAGCCTATGGCCCCCCCAACAATTCTGGGTCTTCATTTTACCGTCTTCGGAAGGACGGAAGGCGGAGTCAACCTTGAGCCTGGTAAGATTCGAACTGCCAAGTTGCAGTCAAGACGGCAGTTAACAGAAGTAGCCTGCAGTACCGCACTCTTAACACTGCCCACCGTGGCTCAGTTAGTAAACTAGTAATATGGTTGTTGTTTTTTGCCCTGGACATGAAATATCTTGATATATTTTAAGCATCTCCGGTCATCATGGTAACCCAGTAATTCGTCAATCTCAGAGCTTGAAGTTATGTGGATTTCAAGTCCCAGAATTCCTCAGCCAGAATGCTGGCTGGGGAATTCTGGGATGTGGAAGTCCACCCGTTTTCAAGTTCCCGAGGTCGAAAAACACTACACTTAAAATATAGAAAGCCAACTGAAAGATGCTGCTGTACCCCCCCCCCCCCCCCCCTCTACAGCACCCCCATCCCTGGAACCCAGGCCCAAATACGCAGTCAAGTTAAATACACACCATGACCCATTTCTCAGTTGTAAGTGCTAAAGGTTTCTATCCTATCCACCTGTTCAGGATCGCACCTATGTCCCCGTTGCTGTCCCACGTCGGGGAAAAGCTCCCGATGTTTTCGTGGGACAGCGGAGGAATGGAATCCCTGCTTCTCAAAAAGATCTTTCTTCTCATTTGGCTAACAGGATCACTTCATTCAAGATCCAGCGGTGCTGCGGGAGCGAGCCGAGGCCAGGCGGATGACCTTCCTGGCAAGAAAAGGGTAAGGATCCCCCACCCCAAAGCCCTCCTCCTTCTCCTGATTTTTGTGCCAAGTTCCAGGCGTCCAACCTAGGATTGCGATTTGCCAAGCTGGCTTAGTAGTCTGGGGGTAGCAGTTCCCACCCAATTAGAGGGCACCAGGTATTTAGGATCTAGGGCTGGAAGGGGCCTTGGAGGTCTTCTAGTCCAACCCCTGCTCAAGCAGGAGGCTGTGTGCCATTTTAGACAAATGGTTGTCCTGTCTCTTCTTAAAAGCCTCCAGTGATGGAGCGCCCACAACTTCTGGAGACAAACAGTTCCACTGGTTAATTTTTCTCGCTATCAGGGAATTTCGCCTTTGTGCTGCGTTGCTTCTCTCCTCCTCAGTTTCCATCCGTTGCTTCTTCTCTTGCCTCCTGGTGCTTTGGAGAACAGCTTGACTCCCTCTTCTTTGGGGCAGCCCCTGAGATGCCGGAACCCAAATATCATGTCACCCCAGTGACATTTCGCTGGTGGATGTTAACAGTCCATTTTTTTTTCTCTTGCAGGCAAAAGCCAGATAACTCCGTAGCTGCGACGGGCGTTGCCAAGGGCCGCGGCCAAAGCCGAGAGACAGTCCAGGAGCGACGGAAGAAAGAAGCCAGCAAGGGGACGAGGGCGAATCACAACAGACGCGCAATGGCCGACCGGAAGCGGAATAAAGGCATGATCCCGTCTTGAAACAGTGGCGCGCCAGGGAGGTGTGTTTGGAACTGCTCCTTTTTCAGGGAGGTCCCCCCCCTGCCCCCCCCAGGAGAAAGAGAGAGAGAGACTTTTGCAAAGATTATTTACCTAGGGCGGGAAGCAGAAATCCACACATAAGAACAGGCGATTGCAGACCTGGCAATAGGGCTGCGTTGAGCAACTTGTGGACATTGTGCGTTGTTGAGAAATGCTTTTCTTTAAACGGTCCCTCCGGAAACTTTCGCTGTTTTGAGTTGTCCTATAGGTTGCCTCTGTCAGGGCTGCCTCAATCTGATCTCGTAGGAAAGTGAAACCCTCGACTCCCATTTGATTGAAGGGGAAGGGCACTTTAACTAAGAGATGCTGATTACAGGAGAATCAGGTAGAACCTGAAGTTCCTGCACACCCAGACAGACAGAACCCCCTGGTGTTCCCCCTAACCCTGCCCCCATAGCGCCCCCCCTCCCCCTTGTGTAGCCAATCCAGCACCACTGAGATGTTTTGGGAAACGCTGGTGTTTGAGCTGGCGAGACTCCACTCTCAGGGTAGACGGGCCTTGAAGATGCCAGGAGGCCAACACGAACTGGATTCTAAACCCCTCTGTTCTTCAACTGTCAACCCCCCCCTCCCCAATTTCCCATCATAAAAAGTATACCCATTTCCCTCTCCTTTCTCCGATTGATGGCAGAGCACCAGTCCTGCTAAGAAGCCAGCTGCCTTGCTGGATCACGTTTCTTCCTTTGGGGGGTCTTTCCTAGCAGAGTGAAACTTCCACCTCCACTTGACATTGCACTGCAAAATGTTGGCTTCTGGTGGTCTTAATTTGCAAGCCCCGTGGCGAGATGGTCAGCAAATAAATACATTTCAAGTGTGATTGCGAGTGGGATGGGGACTGTTTCCATTGGCTCAAAACTGCTTCCCAAAGAAGCAAATCGCATTCAATCCACTTCAGCTGAAATCTTCCGCTTCAGTGGACGTTTTCCTGCAACCTAAGAGAAAATCCGGGGGCCAAAGTTCTGCTCCTCAAAAATGGTGTGACTTACTGATTTAGAATTGGAATTCTTTTCTTGTCCAAGTGTGATTGGACACACAAGGAATTTGTCTTGGTGCAAATACTCTCAGTGTACATAAAAGAAAAGATACATTCGTCAAGAGTCAAGAATCATCAGCAACGCTTAATGATAGTCATAATGTACAATATGAACACTTAATGATAGTCATAAGGTACAAAATGAACACTTAATGATAGTCATAAGGTACAATAAGAATAGAATTAGAATAGAAGATAGATAGAATTCTTGATTGGCCAAGTGTGACTGAACACACAAGGAATTTGTCTTTGGTGCATAAGCTCTTAGTGTACATAAAGAAAAAATACATTCGTCAAGAATCAAGAAACTCCCAAGTGACACAGATAGTACAAAATACACTTGTCTTGGAGAGTGCATTTTATTAAGCTGCTTTCTCAGGAAAAAATCCCAAAAGTCATTTGAATCTTTTCATCACTTGGGAGTAGCGTACACCGGGCCATCGTACAAGGATGAACGTCTGGACGAACAACTGGCCACAAACCAAAGGGCTGTTGGTGAAGATGGCAGAGGAGCCGACCGGAATCCAGGGTTGCTTGCCGTACCTCAGTCTTGCTTGACTTCATATTTATGCTTGATGTCTTTCCACAGTCTCTGCACAGCGAGACACAAAAACAAGCATGGAGTTAAGATATGGATGACATTTGGGAAATGCTTGCTTATAACTTCACAAAACATCCTGCTTGGGGGGGGGGGGGTTGGATTAGATGACCTACAAGGTCCCTTCCAACTCTGTTAGAATAGAATAGAATTCTTTATTGGCCAAGTGTGATTGGACAGACAAAGGATTTGTCTTGGTTCATATCCTTTCAATGTCCATAAAAGAAAAGATGCATTCGTCAAGAATCATCAGGTACAACACTTAATAATAGTCATAGGGTACAATAAGAATAGAGTTAGAATAGAAGATAGATAGAATTCTTGATTGGCCAAGTGTGATTGGGCACACAAGGAATCTGTCTTTGGTGCAAATGCTCTCAGTGTACATAAAAGAAAATATGCATTCGTCAAGAGTCAGGAATCATCAGGTACAACACTTAATAATAGTCATAGGGTACAAATAAGCAATCAAATCATACTAGGAAGCAGTCAATATAAATAGTAAGGATACAAGCGACAAAGTTACAGTCATACAGTCACAAGGGGGAGGGGATGGGTGATAAGGAGTGATGAGAAGATTAATAGTAATAGTAGTGCAGACTTTGTAAATAGTTGGACAGTGTTGGGGAACTATTTGCTTAGCAGAGTGATGGCGTTCGGGTAAAAACTCCCAAGGCACCCAGCTTCGGCAGGTTTGCAATGAGGCTGCAGAAGACCTGGAGCCGAAAGCGCACAGCTGGCACCCCAGAAAGGCAGGCGGCAGCGAAGCACCTGCTTTCACAAAAGGTGCACTGCCCGATACCTAGAAGCAGCGCGATAGGCCGAAGCCGCGGCCTCGAGTTGGAGGCCAGCCCGCCTGACCTTCAACTGACTCCGGCCGCCTTTCACGCAAGTCCCCGGCTGGGGCCTGCGCGCCCACCCTGGCTGACTTACCCCCTCGTTGAGACGGCAGAAAATCGCCTCCGTGGCCTGGTTGAAGCCCCGCTCGAAAATCACGGCGCCCACCACGACCGTCAAAACCAACGTGGACGTCCGACGGAACACCACATTGTACAGCTGCTGCGCGAACGCCATCTTGGACGCTTGAAGCTACTGCGCAGGCGCACCGCTAGCTTCAGGACTGCAGGCGACCGGAACGTCCGCATATTTAAAAAAAAAAAATGTGCCGCGCTGAATTCTGGGCTTTGAAGTCCGGTGCCCCCCCCAGGGGGCGCGCTCTTCCTTAAGGGAAACCGAACCACGTTTCCCAAGATGCCCTGCCGTTCGTTGGCTCGAAGCCCGACCGTGGAGGCCTCTGGGAGTAATGAGATTTGAATCCTGACAATTCTGACATCCAGACCGCAGAGCGAGAGGTTGAGTAGGGACCCCGCTTGGTGTGTTATCCAGGGTCCTCGAGAGGTAGGGCAGGTACTACAGTTCCCATCATTAATAAAGGAGAATATTTGCAGCTCAGGGTTGAAATGAAGGGTGCTGGGTGCTCTCTGAGCTGGGTTGTTGTTTTTTTGCAGATGTCTCATGACCCAGCTAGGTAACACCATCAGTGCTAGAAGGGAGTGGGGTTGGCGGGGAGGAGGAGGAAAGGGAAGGAGGGTTGTTGGGATCTTGGTGCTCTTTTAGCTGGGTTGTTTTCTTGCAGGCGTTTCATGATCCAGCTAGGTAACATCATCAGTCCTAGTTAGGAGGACTGTGGGGTCCTTGGTACTCTCTGAGCTTGCTGGTTTTATTGCAGACGTCTCATGACCCAACTAGGTAACATCATCAGTGCTAGAAGGGAGTGGGGTTTGCGGAGAGGAAGAAGACTGTGGGGTCCTTGGTGCTCTCTGAGCTTGGTGATTTTCTTGCAGACGTTTCATTACCCAACTAGGTAACATCATCAGTGTTAGTAAGGAGTGGGGTTTGCTCTCCATTTACATTCTAGTCTAGTGGCTTGTCTGTCAGTGTTGTTGCAGGTTGGTCTTAGAGATTCTTTGGTTGGGCTGTTTGCTCTTGGCTTCTTTGGCAATTTCTTGTAGGTTGCTTGTTTCCCTCCGATGCCTACGTAGAGATTCCAGGCTAATTCCTCCTTTGACTACTCCCCGGGGCTCAGCTAGTCTGGCCCAGGAGCAAACTGTCAGCCTGAGAAGATTCCTGTACTATAGGTATGAACAATAAAATAGCTAATTGAACTCTTGACCTGCAGATCTGGTTGTTTACAACCCGATATGTATTAATTTCTGCAAGTCCCACTTTGGTGCCGTTATTAAATAGAAGCAGCGCCAGGGCTGAACGTACAATTCTATGCTGCACCGAAATGCACCATTTTATTTATTTATCCATGAAATTGAAATCTAGCCTGCTGTAATACACACAATAAATTCTCCATGCAATTAGAACAATGATGATAATTCAAATCTATGTGTTGTACTTGTTTCGCATCTCAGCTAACCTACACATAAATGCTCAGAAAGCAAAACAGGGCTTTCTTTCAGAGGACTAGATGTTAAAATGTCATCCTGATAAAGAGTGGTAACTTCTGGTTTTGCCTGCAGGAAGTTCCAGATTCAATTTTCAGCCCTGCAGGTGGTTTGGAGAAACCCTTTTCTGCAAACCGCGGGCACCACTGCAGTTCAATTAGGAGCAGCGTTCCTACACGTCAAATCCCAAACTTGCCATTTACAATCGAAGCCCAACAAATTGGAACACACAATCGCCCTTGTGTTAGCTAATGATTTCCGAGCTTAGGCAGCCAAAGCCAAAAGTTGCGTGTATTTGTGTAGTTTTTTTAAAAAACAACAACACACATTTCTATCACAATTTTGAAATAAAAGTGTACAAGAAGAAGGGAAAAAAAGATAGGAAATGAGGGGGGGGGGGGGGGAGAATTTAAAATGTTGACTTCCGGGAATCGAAGTCCACACGCATCTTAAAAGCTGCCGAGGTTGAAAAGCACGCTTTTCCCAAGGGATTTTTTTTGTTTTTTTTAGCAGATTCGGAATGGGGAAGCGGTACTTTTGCGATTACTGTGACCGAACGTTCCAGGACAATCTTCACAACAGGAAAAAGCACTTGAATGGGGTGCAGCATTTAAGATCCAAGAAAGTCTGGTACGATCTCTTTCGAGGTAAGTGCTCTGACCTAGGCTTCCCCCCAACAGCACGAAGTTGAGTCCTCGTCCCGAGCAACCCCTTTTATTTGATTTACAATGGATTTCCTCTCCAGCAAATTCCCGGCCAACAGCCTTTCACGATAGTTCCCAATTACAAACCTTTACCAGGCTTGGAGAGGGGCCAGGCCGATATCTTTCAGACACCAGTGTCAACTCATAAAATATTTCTATGGTCTTTTTAGAGTTGCCAACAGAAAGGGAGAAAGGGGGAGCAGTGCGGCAGCTTGCAAACCAAAAGAACCTGTTGTTGGAATCACAGCTGTTCTCTTTTTAAAATACAACCCAGCTCTTCCTCCTCCTCCTGTTGGTGATTTTTTCTTTCTTTCTTTACAGATGCTGCAACCATCTTACAGGAGGAACAGACAAAGAAACCCTGTCGGAAATTTTTGCAAACAGGTATGCCAAACAAGTGTCTGTGGACATAGATTAAAACCTCCAAGTGGTCTCAACGACCCTCTCAAAGGATGCAAATGACCAGCTGTCTGCAAGGAGCATAAACCCTTCCCTTCCTCACCGTCCAGTCAGAGCTGAAGAAGCTCCTTGGAGGAGAAGCGAAACGTCTTCAAAGGAAAAACAAGGAAATCCAGTTGCCTCTTGGGGGGAAAAAAAAAGCACCTTTGGGATATGCAGGACAAGCTAATGTCATGTTAACAGTTGAATGTTTTGATTCCTGGCAAGGTCGTGAGAATTTATCCATCCTGGCTTGTTTATAATAATGGCTTGTTTTTTTTTCTGACTCTACCGGTAATCTCCCAGTAGATTAATAGCAATAGCAACAGCACTTTGACTTATATAGTGCTTTACAGCCCCTCTCTAAGCAGTTTATAGAGTCAGCCTCTTGGCCCCCAACAATCTGGGTCCTCGTTTTACCCACCTCGGGAGGAGGGAAGGCTGAGTCAACCTTGAGCCTGGTGAGATTCGACCTGCCAAATTACAGGCAGCCAGCAGTCAGCAGAAGTAGCCTGCAGTACTGCACTCTGACCACTGCGCCCCCGAGGCTCTTGATTAATTAATGAATGCTTTAATGCTTGCCTCGATCCCTTCCTTACAGGCCACTGTGATTTTGGCTCCAACTGCAGATTTTCTCACATGACGGGCGTGGATCTCGAGAAGCTGAACATGCAGGTACAAGGTAAGAGAAGGGTGACGTGAGAAACAGGTTACAGAATGACAGAGTTGGAAAGGGGTCTTCTACTCCAACCCCCCCTGCTCAAGCATTCCAGGGAAAAGGCTGCCCAATCTCTCCTTGAAAACCTCCAGTGATGGAGCACCCACAACTTCTGGTGGCAAGCAGTCCCACCGGTTAATTGTTCTCACTGTCAGCAAACTTCTCCTTAAATTCCAGGTTGCTTCTCTCCTTGATGAGTTTCCATCCGTTGTTTTTTTGTCCTGCCTTCAGGTGCTTTGGGGAATAAGTTGTCTCCCTCTTCTTTGGGGCAGCCCCTCAAATATTGGAACACTGTTGTCATGTCTCCCTTAGTCCTTCTCCTCGTTAAACTAGACATCCCCAATTCTTGCAAGCTTTTTTTTTTTGGTATGTTTTAGCCTACAGCCCCCTAATCCTCTTTCTTGCTCTTCTCTGCACTCTTTCTAGAGCCTCAACATGTTTTTTATATCGCACTGACCAAAACCAATCGCAGAATTCCAAGTGAAACTTTTAATTCTAAAGTGGTCCAATTTGAAAAACATTTGTTTATATTTTTAACCCAGGGCAGTGTTAACCCTGCTATCCCACAGTGGTTGTATCAGATCTACCTTTAATTAAATCTTTTATATATATATAAAAGCGAAATGCCACTCACGCATCATCACAAAATCTCCAGAACCGTAAAGCCTAACAAATTTGAATGATCCTCTTGGCTTCTAGCAGCTCACTAAGAAAGGATTTTTCGAAATGACCATCAGAGCATTTAGTATTTCCTATATTATTATTATTAACACGCTCTGATGCTAAGGAGTTCTACTCCCCCTCACCACCAGAAAAGAAACCTCTTCCAAATGCAAAACACAAGCAGGGGAGAGGAGTTTCCATTTCAGTTTTAGTTTCACAGCACCAGGCAGCTTTAGTACAGAACAGTTGAGCTAAGCCATGGCCAGGCTCCTTGCTGTCTCCTTCTTGCTCACACAGCAAATACTCCTTCATTTTCCAAACAGCCCTCAACTCTCTCACACACTGACTGGACGCTAGCGAGATGAATACCGATGGATGCTGGTAGGCAGAGGCAGAATTTTCTCCCCTTATTTTCCTCCCCCAAAACTAAGCCCGACCACATAGTTTCGTAGCAAAGCACGGGTATCGAACTAACGGTTAATATTTTACACAGCATGTTAAATAGATATTGAAAGTGAACCACTCAATATCAGGAATCATTGGGAAGGAGCTTGCTTTAAATCAGGGTCAATCTTACATCCCGAGTGGCCTTAATCCTGGATTGACTGTTTCTTATCTGTACTCTTCAAACCTCTTCTAGTTTTTAAGCAGCCAAACTTCTTTCTTCCCCTCCTTCGTTTCCCACTGCTTTTATTTCTGCTCTGGGCCAAGAAGTTTGGCTTCGGTGGCTTGGTTTTACTGCCTGCTGCTACAATTTATATGCTGCGTGATTATTATTTTTTCCTCCCCCCTGATTGATGGTTGCATTTTAATTTTTATGGCTCTGTGTCACAACGGCCGCCCAGGGAACTGTGTGTTATGTTGCTAGAACAGGAATCGATAAAACCGTGGCAGTCGTTAAGACAGAGACATTGTGGGTATCCTTCCCCTCCTAATCCCTAGCCCACCAGGAAGCATGTACAGAGTTTCTCCCAAGAAAAACATGGGGAAAAGGTTAGTCTTTACCCTCAAACTGCCTCCCTGTAGCCATTCGTT